TATTTAGTCAGTACTCATGCCGGTGACGTTGGCCTTTCCTGACATGGTTAACATATTTAGTCAGTGTATTCTCTTAGAACTGAGAACCTCAATTGACTTCATGATTTAGCTTATTAACAGTTTTGCAAACTGTACCACATTAGATATTAGACATTCAAGTAGCATTACTCCCCCCCCCCAATTTCATAACTTACTTGATAAGATTGATCAAGTTGGCCACAAAATGAAAATGTCTCTTTCAGACAATCTTTCTTTGTCTTCCAGAGACCCATAAAAATGACATTACCTTAAACTAGAGAGCCATTAGACTTTATTACTCTATTATGAGTTCTAATCCCACTGCTCTCATCACTGAGAAAGAGTCTAACCACAAGCACTATCTGACTTAGCACAGAGAAATCAGATGGCTAAAGGAACGGCTCCCAGTGCTGTAATTGAAATGAAGCACACAAACACATGCACTCACACAGAATGCAGAAAGTAGACGACTACAAAATGGCCTTATAATAATGGTAACATAAACAAATGTTTATATGCAAAAATTGGGTGTTTACTATCACACGGAGGCCCTGTAACTGTTTATCACACAAGAAGCAGTGCATGCAACCCATTTATGGTAACTGTGCTTTAATGTATCACTGCAAAGTCACATTAAAGTCTAATGAAAGTCTGAAATATATAAGATTGTTAAGCTGTGTACTTCATTAATCTATTAACATTTCTCATCGGTCCTCTGCTGCCTTCCCAGGAACTACCAAACCACTGCATGTCCCTTGAGACTTATTACATGGTCAGGTTTCTAGGGAAATGTGCCAAGTGCAGCAAGGCAGGATCAATGTTGATTTTAGATATTCTGAGATTATGTTCATTCACTTAATACAACTAGAAATGTTTTCTATGAAATGTTTCTCTGTTAATGTATTACATTTGCCACAGTGGTTCCATAGCTGAACTGAAATGGGATATAATCTGATGTAGAAGAAGGTTATTATAGTAAGTTAAACTAAATTAAAACTAGATGTAAAAAATATTAGTTAAATAAAATAAAAACAAACACTTGACTTTTGAAATAAATTAACAAACAATTTTGTGAACTTGGAAAACAAAAAAATATAGAAGAAATATTTTTAGTTTTAGTATTTTTTTAGTTTGGTAAAAAGGTTATTAAAACATGCCTGATGAGGCACTGATGGACATATTCATTGAAACTCTGGTCAAAAAGTTATCTTTTTTTATTGAAAACCTTTACTGACTTTACAAGTCAGTGAGTCAGTTAAGCTCATTTTTGTTTGATGACAGTGGTGAGTTATTGAGGATATCCTGAATTTTTCTGTCAGGATGCATTGCCAGTGTTAGCTGCTATTAGCTGTTATTAGTGAACTTAAGTGTTAGTCATCTACTGATCTACTTTTTACAATATCTATAAAAAAAATCCACAACCTTTAATCCATATTTTCATATGTTGGTGCCTTGACTTCAGTTGAGGAAATAAGGCTTGCATTGAGAAGGAGGAAGATGATGTTTTATCCAGATGCTGGTCACGCTATCTCTTAGCTTTACATGTTCCTTTCTTTGGTGAAGAAAGAAACTTAAAATTTGCTGAACGAGACTGTCTATGAGTTCTCTTCACATCCATATATGACTGGCCTCTAGCCCCATAGATGAATTGTGATTACGCAGAACAGTAATGTCCATCTTGGGCAGTGTTTTCAAGAGGGTGGCTTCCACAAACTGGCACCCGCGCCTATGTATTCTAAGTTTATAAGAATGCATCAATTTACTGGAAGGTGTTACACACTAGCTAACTTATATTTATGATTTCAATATTCTTGTATTTTTTTTTTTTTAAATCTATTCACCATACTGTTTTCTATTAATTTACACACTGTTGTTTTGTTGTTGTTGTTGTTGTTGTTTTTTATTTGTTTCTGTTGCTTTCTTCTGGCTTCTGCAGGTAAGTGCTCCTCTCTTACATCTGCTATGGCCCAGATAAGCACCTCATTATCTGCACATCTTCCTACCAACACTCTTATTGTAATGTCTTACTATTATTGATTTAAGTACACAATATGTCAAGGAAAACATCTCTGTCTCATGTCTGAAATGTTTGTTTTTACACATTTCTATGCTCAGCAGTGGAGAATTTGCATGTTCTGCTCCATTGCTGATGTGTTTGAAATGACCTAACATCAGGCGGCAGTGCATTTAAATTCACTTAACCACATCTGTGATTGTTTACATCATCTGTTTTTGCAAATTCCCCACTAAACTGAAAACATCCAGCATAGTAAATAAGCCTGAAAGTCACATTTAGAGTGGTTGAACATTCAGTAAGTCAGTATTTATTTGATAGTCTGCCTACTTTTATGGCCATTAAAATACGATAATGTGCAAATGCAGTAGTTTAAATATGTCATTATGCGTACAGTTTTCCATATAAGCTTTCTGATACTCAGTGTACATCAGGCAGCCTGTTTTGCAACTTTAACATGTTTTCACCAAAGCATAAACAAAAAAGGCAAAGTCTGGTTTATGGAAGAGGGAAATACTGTGAAGCATTACAACTTTTTTCTGTTTTTCTGTTTTTTATCTGTTTATTTGTTTGTTTTGTCAGTCAAATATGTAGAATGAATTTTGTTTTAGAGATAGGATTCCTAACTACTCTTTGGCGTCCTTTTAAAACATAATATCTTTCATGCTAGTTTAGTCTTAATAAATGTTTGTTAGTTATATAAAGCCCTTGGACTTTTTTTGGTCTGTTTACTAGCAACCAAATACAATTTCATAAAAGATATACAGAATTATTGAACATTCTGATAATTGTATCTACACTTACAAACAACCGATGCACAGAAGTGCTGTATTTTCATTAAAAAAAATTAAATGTCAGCTTATTGTGGGCACTTCTAAAGTTTCACATCTATGTGTGTCTGCAACTGCCTTGTTAACCTTAAAAAGGGGAGAAAACACAAACAAATTTCTATCGTATCCTTACCACCAGCTCTTTCTCTATCTATCTCTATTTAGCCAAACAAATACAAATAAAAGCTGCCTCATCTCATGTTTTGGAATGTTCTGACCATTTCCAGCATATAAACTGTTCTTTTATCTCACAGAAAAAGTATGTATGCACACACAAATTCAAAAGTGACTCACCTCCAGATGTGCAGACGCATTGCTGTGAAGAAACATATTTGCTTCCTTCAGCCTCCAGCTTGCTGTTCCAGGCTTTTGGTTTCCCCAAATGTTGTTTTATTTGTGATGAGAGCGACTCCACTGGTGCATAGAATTTTGTGCTGTGTTGAATTAAATTGCGTAGTTAAGGCAGTTGACTATTCTGAATGCATAAGGCAGAATTCTTCCTTTATATTTCTTTCTTTTTTAATTTAATCCCAAGGTTTTGTGTGTATATCAGTACAGATGTACTATCATACATACTATTATACTATTATACATTTATCTATCACTATATTTGCATCGTTGGTCCGTTACTGATTAGTGAAACAGCTTTTTTCATTTTCTGATTTGAGCAGCTTGTGCTGTTGGGGTCTTAAAGATGCATTCTGGTTTAGGTTGGAATTCCCAGCTCTACTATGAAGTGTGCTGTATGCCAAGGCCATCTAGGTTGGTAGAATAGACTTTTTCTTGATGACTCAAAATCTCTCTGTTCTACTGTGGGAGTGTAATAAGCTTACAAAGACTAAGTCTTGTGATCAGTCAGTCTCTGGCTTTTATTTTATTTTATTTTCATCCTTTTTTACTTTGCTCAGCTGTTCTTTGTTTTTCTTTTCCTAGATTAGTTTATTTAAACCACGGGTCCTCTCAGAGTTTAACTAATAAGCATCAAGCTTTTAAAGGTACATATCCTCCTGTACAGTAGGTAGTATTTTGTCCCCTAAAACAACCTTGAAAGAAGATCTACAAGCAGGGGTTCTCTCAGTGCACTCAAAAGTTCACGCTGCCCTTAAGTGACCTATAGTTCTTGGCAGCTATTTTCTAAGTAACACAAACAACAGCAGATTCTGGCTAACTGTTATTAATGAGTTATGTAGCAAAGATGATCTCAACCTATTTGGTCAATTCAATAAATTACACAAGTTTTGTGTAGATAATATATTGTAGACTTAAATCTCTACAGGGAGGCTGGGAACACAGAGAAAATTCTCTTGGGCTCTGCCAGAAAGACCCTTTTGACTTCCCACCATAAAGCTGTGGACCCAGCAGTGACCAGGAAAGAAGTAGACCTGTCAAATCCCACATGGGCATATTCAAGAACTCAAATTAAGATCAATAACAGAACAATCTTTAAAGATCCATTATCCCAGAGACTAAAAAGAAGATAAATAAGACAAAGAAAGACAATAATCCTAAAATGTGACAGAGCCATATTTTACTTAAGGAGACTTAAGGAGCCATTAGTTCAGAACAGATATAACTGTCCATTTCTAGTTTCTAGTTTCTCTTGAGGTTGTTTTGCTTTAATTTTCTTGACTATAATTACTACACAAACTTTTATGACTTAAAGCAGGGATATGCTTTTCGTAGCACAATGAATCACCAAATCACCTATGTTGTTGAGAAAAAAAATTATTATGTACTGAAATTGACAACAAATGATAGATTCTGTCAGGTTCTGCCCTGAAAAGAAGGCAGTCTTTCTTGGCTTCTAATAATGCTATAGATCCAAGCCACTGATGCAGAAGGGCACCCTGTGTGTGTTTCAAGATACCAGTGGCAGAACAGCCCTATTTGACACCCATTGTTAGAATGCATTGAGCTGGAAGAGATCCAGCTGATGACTGCACTGTAAAGGTGACACGACATACTTCTGGTTTCTATGATGAATAATTGATGTCACCATTCTGAGCACTAAACTTTATTTCAGTGTGTTAATTAGTTCCCTAGACCATTTCACATTCTCCTTATTCTCATCATCAAATCAGGCAAACAGTAATTATCAAAAAAAAGGACAGTTACCTCATTGTTTTACATTATTGTAGCCTCAAGTCCTATTGAGGCCCCTGTTGGCAGATCACGGTGGCTTTTACGCATCATGTACTTGAACCTGCAGTACAATTTAGTGAACAATTTAGAAACACACCAATCCCAGCTGTTTACTATATGAGTAGTGCCAACAAAAAGGAGGTCTTATGCTACCTGATTAAACATTAGCGCAGAATTTTCTGCATTATTTTGTTTATTTCCTCACTTCTGTTCCAATCAGTGAATAAATGAAATCTGTGTTTGAAACAATAAAAATATTCCTAAATATATAAAAAGGATTCTTATATCCTCCTGAGAACTAGCTTGTCCATTTATGTCCTCTGTAATGAATTTGTTTTTGGGCTATACCTTTTGACTTATTTTAGCTAACCTAAGTCCTTATGTACTAAATAGAGGGCATCCTGGGATTTCCATTGATATCTTATGTGTTTGGGTCATTTAGCTCCAAGGAGGAAGGAAAAAAAGTTTAATGTTTTAGCACTAATCACTTTCCGTCTGGAATCAAATCACTACTCATCTTTCAACTCTAATACAGTGTTATTCATTTATTATCTTCCTTTCCTACAAATGCTCTTGCTTACATAAAGAATGATGAATGAAGTTTTATTTCCTTCATTTGTTTCGTGTTTAAATTATGGTTCTCCTTATTGACCCGCCTCTCTCCTCTGAATTGTGGAAGGTTTGGCGGTGGGGGGCAGTTTGATGGAATCTGAATGAACAAAACCTAAATATTTGAGCTTTGAATGAGAACTTACAAAAACAACAGATTTTATTCCAGACAGAAAGTGTTTAATGTGTGTGAAAGGGACTTTATTAACCCACATCAATAACATATAATGGCCATAATATAGGGATCATTTGGGGTGTGCTCAATCAAATTTAGTGCTTGAAATACAGAATTCATACACTTAGCTCAGGGACACAGAAATGAGAATACAAAGGGAAAGAAATGAGAGAAAAAATGTTGTATTAGGTACTAAATATCAGACACATGTTTACAAGTCTGTCTTTTATTGTTATTTATTTAACAATAAATATATATTTATTTGTACGGTAATACAAGATTTTTTATAACTCATAGTGTCCAAGGAAATGCTGGGACCAGTTTGATGGAATCTGAACAAACAAAACCTAAAAAATAAAAAAATGTGAAGGAAAAATATTTTACAAAGGAAGAAAAAATTAAGACTTACCCAACTTGGAGGAGTCATCTTTTCCCTTGGGTATTCTTTCTTACGAACCATAGCTATTTCTTGACAGCACTCTTGACATCCAAAAATATGACTCACTCCCTGGTACAAACTGTGTGTACCCATCAGCAGCACAGCAGGGCAGATACTTACCAGCACAGGGGTTTGATGTGAGTTATCAGCTTGAAGGGTAGTCTTTCTGAAACCCTGCAGCTGAAGATTTCTTTTAGTGTTATAACAAGGTATAATGTTAGAGCTACAGTCACTGGTTACTTCATTAGGTACTCGTGTTCACATTAACGTAAATATCTAATCAACTAGTCACATGGTGGTAACTCAATACATTTAGATGTAGACATGGTCAAGGTGACCTGCTGAAATACAAACAGCACCAGAAGGGAAAGTGATTTAAGTGTAGAGATGGCATAGTTGTTCTTGCCAAATGGGCTGGTATTTCAGAAACTGCTGATCTAATGGAATTTTGCTCCACAACCACTTCTAGGAGTTTACATAGAAAAAAAAAACACCCGGTGAGCAGCAGTTCTTTGGAAGAAAATATCTTTTTGATATCAAAGGTCAGAAGAGAATGGTCACACTACTTCAAGCTGATAGGTAGGCAGTAGTATCTTAAATAACCCCTTGTTACCTCGTTACAACCAGGAGAGCATTAATATGCATGGACTCACCAAAACTAGCCCGCAGATTGGAAAAACACTGGATGATGTGAGGAGTCTTCATTTTTGTTGAAACATCCAGATGGGTAAGCTCAGAATTTGGCATAAACAACATTAAAGCATGGATCCACCCTGTCTTATCTTGTTCAGGCATGTTGCGGTGGCATACTTGTGTTACAGATACCAACTGAGCACCATGTAAATGCCACAGCCTACATGAACATTACTGCTGACCATGTCTCTCCCTTTATGACCACAGTGGCCATCTCCTGATGGTCACTTGCAGCAAATTACATGCTATGCCACAATAGCCGAAAAATCTCAAACTGGAAAAATAATAAAAACTGTGCAAGTGTGTGCATAACAAGCAAAATACTA